ACTATCACATCCCTGGACCAGATGTGGCTGTGAATTACAGAAGTACATGCTCAGTCCTGTCAGTGTTCTTAATGGGCTCTGTTTGAGGGCTGCAGATTCACGATAACTACATTTACTGTAGACTCCAAGTTTATATGAATGTTTTCTGACAGATTGTGATACAGCCCAGCACATATGAGTAAAACTTAGCAAATTGGATGAAAACAAATGCAATGTGAGCCACCCAAGTGATGTGCTTGGCCAGTGAAATAATGGTCTTTCTTTGCTTTGTGAAACCAAGGATTATTTAAGACAGATGTAGGCACTAAACCATGTCACATGAAGGTAAATTGGAGCAGGTAGGTATATTTTAGTCAGGAGGAGAAAATACTGCCTTCAAATAACATTTACATCATGTTCAAATTAATTTTCTTCTTCCAATCTGACTATCATCTATCTCAATTTGACTCTTAATCACATTTGATTTACTTCAATAGCCCAATATATTGAGCATAAAAATATCTACTCTGACTAGTTCAAGTAAAATGTCATTATTAAAGCTTATTAGGTAGTTCTTAAATCAGGAGAGTTGCATAAGTAGGATCCAGATAGCCTTATAATGTGTTGGCAACGCCCGCGTCGCCACGTACCCCGAGCCCCGAGACGAGCGAAGGGCTTATGAGACAGGGTTATGAGACAGACAAGACAGACAACACACAACACACTGAGACTTGTTCTTGTGAAGTGAGGCCTTTATTCAAAGTCGAACTCTCTTATATAGTTTGCTTGGCCCCTCCCAGGATCTTCCCAATGGTTAAGCAACACCTAAACTCCCCCAAGGACATGCAAAAAGGGGAAGCAGGAAGGAGGGAAATTGCAGTCAGGAGGTGCAAGAATGGGAGGCAGGAAGGAGGGAAATTGCAGTCAAGCCACAGGCTGGCTAAATGTATCAGGCCATGATTGCCCTTCCTGTTACACCTTGGAGAAACAAGCTGTGCTGTGGAGTTAACCCTTGGGAGACCCGGCCGTGCAATAATGTTAACTTCCAGAACCATGCAACTGCAACGTAGTTCAATTAAGGAACTATTATCACCATCAAAACCACTTGATAAAAGTGTCTTAATCACAGGATATGGTGAGGTGTATGTTTGTCCTGCCAGTTAAGATGCCACTTAAGACACTCATGTCCCACATTAGGGTATCTGGCTTTAATACTTGGCTCCAGCTTCCCGCTAGTGCAGAGCCTGAGAGGTACTGGTGATGGCTCAAATACCTGGGATTCTGCCATATACCTAGGAGACCTGGATTCTGCTCTTTGGCTAGCAGTTGTGGTCCTAGTTTCACCTTTCACAGACATTTTTGGGAATTAACCAGTAAATGGATGCCCTCTGTCTCTGTTATAAAAAAGGGATGTAGTTACTGACTTTGGGTCATAACTGTATCACATGTGTTGCAACTCACTCAAGCAAAAGAGCCTGTATGTTCTGCTGCCTGAGTTAGTTCATGACTAATTTACAGCTCTTATAAGTTCATTTTATTGGTGGAGACTAAGCCAGGTGTCTGCCTTGGTTATAAGGGAGCCTGACAAAGGCTGTTTTATGTATCTTACCTTTGTTAGGCAGGGTTGACAATGTGAGGTTACATTAAAATGTGAAAAGCTTGTTCCAGTGATATAAAAATGGCAAATGAGCACTGGCATTTTGGCTGGCATTGTTCCCTTTAATTAATTTTTTTCTCATTCTTTAGGACTCAAATCCTGGACAAGACTACTTTCACCTTTCCGTTCTACAAATGCCTCTACTATAGTTATTTACTCCTACTAGACCATAGATTATCTTTACTTATCCACCAAACACATAGCATTTGCCGAGAATCAGGTATCTTTCTAAGTGCTGCTTAAAATATCCATTTTTGAGCAGAAGAAATGTCAGATTTTCATTCTGCTAGCCATCATGTGATAACTATGGCACATAACTGAATCTGATACATATGGATCCTGAATTTGACAAGTTGAGAATGAAAATAAAAGCATGACTCAGTCATGCCACTTTAAGATACTATTGGTATTCTGTTGTACGTATGTCGCATCCAGTTCTCCAAGGGAAAAATTTGCAAAGATTAAGCTGTCCTAAGGTGGATTGTGCTGTGAAGGTAGTGAGTTCCCTGTTATTTGAAATGATATGGTGCAAAGATGATCATGTGTGGACTATATTCAAAGGCTCTCCAGCCTAATTTCTATGATTCTACTGTGATTCAATACTGTTGGATCCTATGTGAGAGATGGAGATGTAAAGATATCTTCTACCTTCTAGTAAATTATTAGCAAATAAGTTATACAAATGAGAAGTAAGTTATAAAATGGAACATGTGGGGGCAGAAATAGTACTTTAGGTTATTGGGAAGAAAGAACCTGCATATATGAATGCAGTTTATAGGCATTGATTATGAATGGATCATATGAGTCTGTGTTGAGTGCAAATATAGACTGTGATTTTGTCAGTGAAATTATATTCAATAGGTAGATTCAGTTTAATTGCTTTTCTTGGTTTCTTGGTTCCCTCAATCATTGTCACATTGAAATCTAAAATATTTTTAATTGTGTTCTTATTGCTAAGCAGTTTACTTGATTTAAAAAAAAATTTTTTTTTACAAATTAACTTGCATGTATTAGCGAGATAATGTGATATTTTTCCAATTCTGGCTGATTTCATTTAACCCAATGTCCTCAGTTCTATCCACTTTGCTGCAAAGGACAGCATTTCATCTGTTATATGGTTGGAAGGTAGTCCATTTAATGTATATACATGTATATATATGTACATGTCTATATATGTAAATACACACACACACACTTTATCCAGTCATCCACTGATGGACCCTTATGCTGATATCCTATCTTTGATATTATGAAGAGAGCTATAATAAGCATCGGAATGCACATATCCTAAAGCATAAGGACTTTATATCTTTCATATATATTTTTTCCATGAATAATATACAGATATAAAATGTATATATGTATACCATGTAGTGGGATTGTTGGAGCTAAAAACTAAATAGCGCGATTTGATTATTACAACATATATACTTGTATTGAAATATCACATTGTATTTTACAAATATATACAACTATGTGTCAAGCATAAAACTTGAAGAATATTTAAAAAATTGTGATACAGCTCATTTGCTACAAAATTCACATTTTAAGACTGTACAATTTGTTGGTATATTCTAAGATGTATTCAAATATCTTTTTAAGAAATTTTTTTGTATCACCCCAAAAGACACATCACATTTATAAGCAAGCGTACCCCAAATCCTTGCTTTCTCCTCTCCCTGACAACCTCTAGTCTGTTGCCCTTTTACATTCGCCTGTGCTGGGTATTGAATATCAGTGGAATCGTTCAATAGTTGATCTTTGTGACCGATTTCTTTCACTTAGCATAATGCAATTGCAGGGTTCATTTATGTGACTACGTGTATCTATGTACTCCTTTTGTGACTGAATACTGTTCCATTGTATGTCTGTGTCACCATTTTTGTTTTCCCAATCATCAGTTGATTTATATTTGGGCTATTTGATTCAGTTTGCTTCTGATGAATAATGCTTTTGTAAACTCTCATGTGAGAGCTTTTATGCAGAGATATGTTTTCATTTCCTTTGTGTATGTAAGCTAAGTTGTAAGATAACCATGTTTGTTTTCCAAAGTGATTGTATTGTTTTATATTCCTACTAGGAATGTGTAAAGGTTCTGATTTCTCCATGTCTTTGGTAGCATTATTTCTCATCATTTTATGATAACTGAGGTGGTATCTTGTGGTATTGATGTGTATTTTCAAAATGAGAAATAATCAAAATCCTGTGCTTTTTGGCCACCTGTGAATCCTCTTTACAAAGATACCTATTCAAATTCTTTCCAAATTTTGATGAGATTATGTTCTTTTTTGGCTTGCAAGAATTTATATATCTGGGTACACATCTCTGTATCAGCCATAGGAGTTATAAACATTTGCACTGATAATATAGGTTGACATTTCACTTCACTTTTTGCATTTTGAAATGGCATCATTTCCACCTTGATTTTGTGAACTTCTGAAGGGCGTCTTTGTATGTTGAGAAGGATAATGTGTTTCAAATGAAGAAAATCATCTAATTAAAGTGTTATTTGTGTGTATATCATATAGATTCTCAATGAAATTAAACCTTGTTCAATCTCAAAAAATGTGTTCTTTTAAGTGAAAGAATAATTTTTATTGTCCCAATACAGATAATTATGTATTTACTTTTAAACTTTTTTTTGCCATATAGCAACTTCTTATGAATTTTGTTTCAATGACACATTGTGGATGAAAATTCCCTGTTAATTTTCAAATCATTTTTGCTTTTCTTGATAATAAAGGTGCTAACGGAGTGTATGGGAAATAGTAATTTCAGTGATTTGTGTGTGTATTTGTTTTTGCTATCAAGATAAATAGTTTTACTAGGACTGTGTAATGTATAGCAGTTTTTCAAAAAGTTTGCTTAATATAGAGTAAAAATGTTTATTTTAGTAAAAAAAATGTTGAAATCTATGCAAATAAAGTCTAAAAGTTTATGGGAAATGTATATTATGCAAAATGGTGCATGGATTTCAAGATTTTTTACTTTTATTTATTAAAAAAATTTATTTGTAGTCAAATACATGTCTTCATTCTCCCACCGCTTTATGGAAGTTACTTTCACATGTTTGTGGTATAAATTGCAAGTTTATGCTGTAAAATAATTTCATTTTTTTGCTGTTTCTGTTCATGAGTTGGCTAGGTAGAGATAAAAACTATGAGTACATGATAAAAATTTACATAAGATTATGTTATTCAGAGTGAGAAATAATAGGAAGTATTTAAAGGAAGGGTTGTTTTTGTTAGTCATAGCATAGCACGACTTAATATATTAAGACATAAATTAATTGTGATTATTATACACTTTTGAAACTCTTTGGCCGAGGTTTATCAATGCTCACGGTTAATGTTCTTTCTAACAGGAAGACATGAACCTTAATGAAGAAAAAAAGGCTCCTTTAAGAAACAAAGATTTCAGCACAAAGCGTGAGATGGTTGTCCAGTATATTTCTGCCACTGCTAAATCTGTAAGTAAGGTGACTTTCCCAGCACCAGCAGAATGAACTTCTCATTATTTATTTTAAAATATGCACAAGCCAGAGATCCTCTAATTCTTGCCTTGATATAAAAAGTTTACTATTCACAAAATTATTTCCATATGCATGTTTATACATCTAGTATCTTTTGAAAACAGTTCTTTGTGAGAAATGAGATTTTCATTATTGTGTACAGGACAGACTAACAATGATGGAAGAAGCAGCAGAAGAAAAAAGGATAGAATAAATTCAGGGATTTGGGGACTGAGTTTTTGTGCACTCACTAAAGACAACATTTTGCAGGTATTCCAGTTAACATTCAGTTTGCTAGATGGCAGTCTGGGATTTTGAGGGAGAAAACACAGAGCATAATTAGCCTTAATTAAGTTTACATTGAAGTTATGTCTGGTGTCTGGTTTATTGTACATTTTAGCTATGTTGTTAATATGTAGTTTTGTCAGTTCTTTCTGTTATGCAGTGTAAACTCTGAAAACAGCCGCGTAATTGTTACTGTACAACCTTATTTAATATAAAGGAAGGCACTTAAGAGTAGATTTAAGCAAATCTTTTTGTGTGTGTCTCAAGACTTGAAAACATGTGTCATTGAAAGGACTTGTTATCAATGCAAAATTTTAGCAATTTAGTGCAGTATTTTTCTTTATTCATTTCCTAAGGTGTTTCTTAAAATAACCTTTGAGTATTTTTTCTAGGGTGTGAGGATGTAAGATAAAATGTTATTTTGGTTCTGTAAAGAAAAATAACTATATATGTGTGTGTGTATATGATGTGTATGTATGCACATGCAGGGGTTTTGTGTTCATATATGTGGCTATATATGTGTTTTTATATACACGTACATGTATGCAGTTTTAAATACTGACTTTCAGAAAATTGACTGCTGAAGACAAGAGTTTTTTGTTGGAAAAATACATGCTAAAGTTATATAGCTTCTCCTATTAGTGCTATTATCAATTTATAGTAATTCTAGTGGCAATTACAAATGCATTTTGCCCTGAAATCTCTGGTTATATTGATTCTATATTGTACATTAACAAGCCAAATCTGAATGCTGAGCTGTTTAAACATAACGCATTGCAGCTCTGCCAGAGCAGAGCAACAGCATGTTTTTAAATTTGCTTCTAGTATCCACGGGCAAAAATATGTTTCAAGCGATAAGTGAAATTTGCCATGAGCATCGTTTTCAATAGAATTAGGTGATGCATAGGGTTTTACTTTGAAATCCTGACGAATCTCTTCTCATTTTGCACTCGAGTTATTGTTCACAGTGAAATGCTTAAGAAAATGCAGGGTGTGCATTCAGTCTTAGTTTTCAAATACCTAAAGGCAAATACAGTAGTAAAACTATGTAACTAAATCTGAGTGCAAAAAAGATTATATGAATAATCATGTGGCGTTTTAAAGATTTTTGTTAATGTCCGACTCATTTGTTGTTTGTGTAAGTGCTACTGCATATAATGAAGATTAGATGAAGCTTTTGTTCTGTGACCTTTTATTATTCAGTTTTGATCCATCCCAATTTAATTTATCCTCTTAAGTTCCCGTTCAACTTTACTGTAGAAATGCACTTTAAGTTATATGCTCATTTTTCAGATTAAAATACAAAGGCTTCTGTAAATATTAGATGAATCCATTTGAATTGATTTAAACAAGAGAAAAAATTGGAATGTTTCTCAAAAGACCTGAAAATGCCACATTTAAGACACTAGTCTTAAATAGGCACTATTTAGTTTATGAGCCTTATTTCAGCATATACATGAGTATACCTGACATGTTTAGCACTTTCATAAGAATTTCAAGATTATTCATTTTTTTGCTAATATTTTTATGGTCCAAATATTTTGATGGAAGAAAGTTTGTTGACAAGCATATTGCTGTACTTTTTCTATCATTAACAATATGAAAAATGTTTATGCAATTTTCTTTTGGAAGTGAGAGTGGCATTCAGTGACCTCCTTATGATCACAATAAAATTTGTACCTATTATAACCAAATGTGTGAACTGCTTACCTGTGAATAACCAGTTTTTATCATGCAGTTTTTTCACTAGGCTTTAAATACATTTCGTATGTCTTTTACTTTTTTTTTTCCGTGTTAATGTTTTCATTGCATTCATCTACTTATTTAATAGAAATATTTCCTCATTTTAAGCCTATGTGATTGAAGCCACTACTTTATGAAAGTGCTTTATGAGTAGTCACACTTTTCATCCTGGAGCAAAAACAAAGTCAAGGGCTAGAGTCTGGTAGAAAGATGTTGGTTATAGTTACCTGTAAAACATATGAGAATTAGAGTTAAATTTACATAAAACTGTGCATTTCCTCCCTTAACACATGCATTAGTCATTTTGTATTGCATCTGAAATCAGATTAACAAGACATGAGTTCAACAAGAAATGTCCATCGTGCTCCTGGGATCCTGGGTAAGGATACAAAAGCACACCTGCATGTGGTCCAATCCTATTCTGAAGCAAACTCATTTTTTTTGTTTGTTTTAACTTTGCTAAAACTAATGTGCAATACAGAGCTATAATGCAAACTATGAAGTGATGATGGAAAATCTTAATTTTTTGATTCTGTAGTAAAGTTGTATCAGTGTTTAATTTGAATAGCGCTGTCAGTTATGAATGAACATTAAAATAGGAGAATGCAATAGTAGCTCTTTGTATTTATCCTCCAGGATTTTGGTTTTTCTGTTCTGTACAATGTATGGTTATGGACCTGACTCAAGGTCATTCATAGATAATTTTGAAAAAATAATCTGGAATAGTTTATTTTCGGAAGACCAGCATATGTTTTAAGGGATGGAAACTCATGCCTTATTAATATTGCAAAACTTATCCTGAGCAGTTCATAATCCTGAAATAGATGAAGCATAATGATGATTTCAGTGGGATCTTGTATGCATTGAACAGTATATATAGACATTTATGAGGAAAAATTGCTCACCTAAGATTAGCTTGCCAAATGCCAATGTACTTATTAGATGATTGAGAGACTAGTTTGTTGTTATTTTAAATCAGTCTTTTGAGATTTCAAACTATGTGAAGTTTTACAGTTTTAGAAGACTAGAACCAATGAGGAATATCATTGATTCAATAATTTTCTTCAATAGGAAATAACTTTTTTAAAAAAATAGTAATACCACTTACATCTACAGATTTACTCAATTGACTTGTATAACAAGCAATTAGAAGTTGTAGTACATCTTGTGTGCCTGCATATACATTTGGTATGGTTTAGCTTTTGTCATTTTCAGATACTTTATTTCATAGGTCTTTTTCAGGGGTGATCTGGATATGATGATATATTTGAACCCAGGCATAACCAAACTAGTTTCACTGGCTAATCAATCTAGTCTAATGCTGTATGTGCTTTAGCTAAGTACAGTTATTTTACAATCCAAATGAATCATTAAGTGGCTCATACTCTGTTTCTCTGAGTATAGACCTGCTCTAATTGTTAAGACAGGCTTGAATTCTTTTTCTCTTGTCTGTGCTAAATAAATAACCCATGACCTCTTTCTTTTTGGTGGGAGGAAATGATTTACATCAATAGCATATCTTTCAATGCAGAAGATTGTTAATAGTACCAAAGAGGCTTTTATTCAACTGAATAATGAGTGCCTGTAAATAGGTTATTGAATGGTTATTTAAGAAAGCTGGTTCTGCATATGGAAAATGATAGAGTTTTCTGGAGTAATTTACTTGGAAACTCTCATATCTTTTAGTATCTTGTGATATCCTCCTCAATTTAGGATTCTTACTGAGGTTTCACTAAAATTTGATTTTTATTTGTAACATACTAGCAGAAAAATAGAACACATTGTTATAAAAACTACTATAAGATTAATGGTTTTAGATTGTGGTTTAGCTTTTTTTAAAGATACTGCTTGTTATGCCAAGTGTGAGAACTTGATAACAATGAATGATTTAAACTGACATTATATACTAAATGACATCTAAATGACATTAGATTATGTATTGGACTTTACTTGCTTTTTAGAGCAATTCTGCCTCTAAGAAATTGTCTTATCTCTTATCCATGCTCACTCAACATTGTGATTTTCAACTTTTTTTCTTATGAATGTGGGCACATTTAGTTTCTCTGTCTTCACGTTATACAGAAAACTCTGATGTTATAATAGAAATGCTACGGTGACCTAAAAAATGAAAACAAGCAATATATCTTCTTTGTAATATCCAAGTATAAAATAAAATAGTATTATCCAAAATAATGTAAAGTATCCTAGTTTTCAACCTGAAGTTCTTTTCTGATCTTAATGCAAGCTTTGGATTCAGCATTAAAATTTTACCTGTTAAAATAAGAAAAGGAAAAGAGGGACATTTTGGGAAAAGTAAATTTTCCATTGATAATTTTGAGGGGCTGTAAGCTAGTAAAATTTCCTATGTCTGATTACACTTAATCTTGTATTAGTTGATGTTTAGATTGTAGAATATGAGAATCCTATTGCAGGGCATTTTAAAAATTCTGAAATAGGGATTACCCTTTATTTGGAGATCCTTACCCTACAGACTTTACAGTTTTGAAATATGATAGAACTTAGTGTTGGTATGTTTGATTTAGCTTTAGGTCTAAAGTATTAGAAGTATCAACAGAGTTAGCTATTTACTAATTTACTAAACACTTAACTTCTGTCAAGCTTCTGATTACTAATATTGTTGCTGTTTGTTTTTTTTTACACTGTAACCATTCTACGTTGACCACTCCATGCAGATAGTTGGAAGTAAAGTTACGGTGAGTACAAAAGACGTGTTTTACCCTTAGATAACTTTGTGCTTTGGGGAATTATGATTTTTTTTTTGCTTATAGTATTAAATATTTTTGCTTCATCTTTTGGGGTATATCTTACTAAGGCACTGATTTTAACATCAGATGATTAGAATTTAGCTGTGGTAAGTATTTTTTTGCTGTAGTTATGGGAACTGTTTATTTAGAGTAAGCACTTATTGCTTTTCGGGGCCAGGGAGTATTGTGCTTTTGCCAGTCTTTTGGATTGTGAAGAAACTGTGTGTTTTATCTCAACTTTCTAGTATGACAGAGGCATGTCTGCTAAATCTTTGTTTTTTCTAATAAGAAATTTAATTAAAACATTTCATTTTGATTTTTGTATCCCTGAGCACATGTTGTAGTTAGAACGACCCTTGTCTTGTAGTTAGGAGGCCTGGATGCTTGTTTTATTTGAGTGCTCCTGCTCAGCTCTCTGACTTTGGGTAAATGGTGTAATTTCTCTGGGGTTCAATTATTAAATGGGTAAACTGAAATGATTCACTTAAATTATATCTTAGGATTCTTTCCGTTGCTGTCATGTAAATGTGTTATATTCAAGGCACTGTATTTTAGTGCTATAATTACATGACATGCTATTATGTAATGGGCTAAAAGTTCCCAGTATTGCGACTGAGGACTGTTTGTAATTGCCTTGCTTTTATGAGTAAATATTTAGAGGATAGAGTAAGAAACACAATCTTTATTTAGGGAAACAAGTAGCAAGCATGTTTAACATCATAGAGTACTAAGATATCTAGAATAGTAAGTGTATTTAACATTTGTTACAGTTTTTAAAAGCGATGTTTTTATTTTTACAAATTGTGATGTTTATGGGAGAAGGCTATCAGCAGTCTGAACATTTTTTGAATCAGCATATATTTATTTAATACCTGTTATATGAGAAAAACTATGTTAGGTACATGGATGAGAAAATTGGTATAAGGTAGGACCTTCTAGTTGATACATGTTGAAATAAGCAAACCTTAACTTGTGAAGCTGAAACTACATATAGTACAAATGGCATAAGTAGGAGAGGAGAATTCGAGTAAATAGTGAAAATTGCTTGAAAATATCAAGTTAAGTTGAACATTCAGAAATAGTTATGATAACAGTGGTTTGACTAAGATGATACTAAGGAGCAATGCTCAGATCCTGGATGCAATAATATATGCAGAGATCTGGAAAGAGAGCCCAACCATGTATGTGGAGAACAGAGAAGAGAAAGGTGGGAGATGAGATTGACTTTCCTGGAACAAAGAATCTTTATGGGAAAGATGAAAACAGTGATTAGAATGAGGGTCCTGAGGTCAGATACTATTTGACCTTGAGAGTAAAGTGATTAAAGTGGGGCTTGGAGGGGTGGGAACAGCTAGTGCGATGACTCAGTAGCTAAATGCTCACCTTGCAAGCACCTGTATCCCATGTGGGCACTGGTTTGTGTCCTGATTGCTCCACTTCTCATCCAACTCCCTGCTTGTGGTCTGAAGAAGCAGTAGACGATGACCCAAAGCCTTGGGACCCTGCATCTGTGTGGGAGAGCCGGAGGATGCTCCTGGCTTTGGATTGGCTCAGTTCTGGCCATTGCAGCCATTTGATGACTGAGCCAGTGGTTGGAAGACCTTTTCTCTGTAAATCTGATGTATATTTCCAATAAAAAGAAATAAATCAGAGAAAAGAAAGTAGGGCTTAAGGGAAGAAAATTTAATAGGTTAATGGGCTGGATTAGGCTGTTGTTAAATTTCAAAGTCTATCAAAATATAAATTTTGTCCTCCTCCCCCAGGATTATGATTGAGACTGACATGTGACCAAGTTATTTGTTTTTGTCTAGCACCATAGAAGATTTTGTTAAGGTAGGCTAAAGAAGAGCCTGCCTTAGATATTATAGATAGAATGGGTTGTTTTGGAGCTACCTAGAACACATTTTAGTGTGTCTGTTAGGGCCTGCTTTAAGCTGGAGGCCAGGCGTGTGAAAGGTGGGATTAAATTAGGAAATTTGGGTTAATACAGAAAGCATGAGCTTATTTGTATATGGGCTGCAGCCTGCTTTTTTGATCTTGGCACCATATTATGCTAGAAGCCAATAAAATATTACTGATTTTTCCACAACAAATCAGTTATTAAATCCTGTTGATTATGTCTCCTAAACAAGTCTCAACTCTTTCCCTTAATTGCACTCTTACTACCTTACCTTAGTTCAGTCTCTCACCATTTAACATAACTGTGATTGCTCTAGACTCCTAAGCTGTCTGCTTCTTTTCTGTCTCTTACCCTGAGTCTTAATGCTTTACAGTGTTACTAGGGATCACTCTGATTTCATTGACATAACTTTCACATGGCCCGTACTTGCTCCTTGTCATCTTATCCCTGTCCCCTTTCTAATTTCATCTTCAGCTGCATTCTTACATGGATGTCCTCCATCCATTTAGAAACACTTGCCATTGCCTTAACATTCTTTTCTTTAATGCCCTTTTCTACTTTGGTATGCACAGCAAGCTCCTGAGTATTCATTAATAATAAGCTTCATGTCAGGAGAAGCTGTGATAGATAAGCATATAGCTGTTAAAATATTTCATGTATTTACTATAGTAAGATATATATGTATGTATTTTTTCCCCAGTGAGCATAATTTGTGCCTTACAGAAACTGGATTTAATGGGGGAAGTGGAAAACCAAAAAGCAAACTGAATAAAGATAGAGCTTGAAGATGTGATATAGTAAGAATCAAAAGTGACAGGCCAGCAGGATGTATATGGTCCATATTTATGGTTCCTAGAATGTTTGGAAAGATGATATATAATACATATTAGTTTGATCCACAATATAAGCTATTTCATGCTGATTGTATTGTGACCTATCTTTCATATTTGAGTGTTGGAATTCTGCTATAAAGGAAGGAAACTAGGAATCAGCTTCTTGAGGAAATGATGGTAGATTCGCTTCACAGTTTGGGTTGGAGAGTTGCCTTATGGAAGACTTTTTTGTTGTTGTTGTTTTCATGCAACTAGCAAAACTAATGAGAAAATGATATATAAAATCACTCTGGTGGAAGGCATGTACAAAAAAAACATGTGTCATGGTTTCATTAATCTTCAAAAAACAGGAGCTGTTTGTTTCTGCACAAAATGATCAGGGAGGGCTTTCTTAGAGGTGTTCCAGAGACAGAAAAAACTCTAGGATAACTGCTTTGAGTATTGTGGTTTCCTAGATGTATTTTTAAAATACATTGGTGAAAGTTTGAGTGATATGAAATCCAGATAAAAATTGGAACCATAAAATATATAATGAACTAGGTCTGTGTGGTCATGCTTTTTCTTTGTCTTTCTGGTGTTGATTAGAAGCAGAAGTGAAGGCTTTTGAAGCTCTCCTAATTTTGAACTACCATCAGCTTTACTTTGAACTATTTTTCTTTGTAAATTTTACTTTAAAACTCAAACTAGAAAACTGCCTGTTATCTGAACATAACCACCCCCTTAGCCTCAGAGAGTTTTGCTTCTGACTTTGCTCCTGGAATCTTTTTTTATATAGAATTTTTTTTTCTTTGTAAGCATTCTGCCCATCTCCACAGCTCTTTCATGATGCCTGTGCTGATCTTGATTCCCAATTCCCCCTTTCTGCCTAGTAATTTGTCTGAACTCCAATAACATGTTATTTTTAACTTGCTTATAAAATCTGTTTCTACTTTATAGCTTCTGTTAGGCATTTCTTAAAGACATCTTTTATAATTTCATATTAGCTTTATAGTAATTTATGTACTTGAATAAAACACTCCATCATCCTATATATCTGCCTTTTTTTTTTTTGGTTGTTCAAAACATAGACCTTTATCAACACTGCAAATAGACATAATGGATTCTGAAGTAAATGGACATGGTCCCTATTCTGATTCTGCTATGTCCTAGCTGTTTAACCTTTGCTAATTCAAGTAAGCTTTGTGCGGTTTATGCTCCCCATGGACAAAATGAGCATGATGATACTAAATTCAAGATCGTTTGACAATTTTTATTTATATTTCATGTATTTGAGATATGAAGAAAGTTATGAAAAGTAGGTCAGAATTAATTTTTAATGGACATGTTGAGTTCTGCAAAATATGTATTTTGTGTACCTCCTCTGAGGTGGTGCATAAAAGACACTACTTCCAGCACTTTCTCAGGCTTTTCCTTCCTTGGAGCCACCTCCTGTTGCTATTGTAGATCTTATTCTTTCTTAAATTTCCTCGGGGTTTTCCTCCTTTGGAGTCCCCTCCTGTCATTATGAGAGGGGACCTCCCTTTCATGCACTAAAATAAATCTTGCTTTGCACACTTAAAAAAATTTGATGTGAAAGGTATAAAACATAAAGAGTATATGGTTAAATGAGATAATACCAGGAGTCTTTTTTCTGTCTGTATTTTCTGATGAGTATGGAAGATATCTGGTGTTTGAAGATTTTGTAGGAAAACTAGGAATTTTCCCTGGACTGAGAATGTTGGGAAGAATTCAGATTGCTGTTGAAGGAAAAATATTTGCCTTAACTATTTTAAGATGTGTGTTATGTGATGTGGCTTGTTATTGGGCCTTGAGAAAATATCACATGTAGTCTCAAGATATCCTTAATAAGATTGTTTTAAAGATTTAATGCAATTCTTGATGATTCAATATGGATACTGATTGTGAAGGAAAATGATAAATTTTCTTCCCCTTTATATATTTGAAATTGCAAAGAAAGTTTAGAATAATGTAAAGATCGAAGAAACTGATTTTTCCAGTGGCTTCTAGTTCTACATAAATGTGAAAGAATTTTGGGAATCTGTATAGATTTTAGTTTTTAATAAATTTCATGAAACAGATTTATAAACCAACCAAATGATTACCTTTTATTTTCTTGCAAGCCAGGAATAATTTATCCAGATGTAGAAAGATATTTTTTTTTTCTTAAAAAAGGCAAGAATTGGCATGATTGTGTATGAGAACTGGCTGATAGAATT